GTCATTCCTTTGCCCAACGCCGCCACTTTCACCCACCAACGCTGCCGCCTCTGCCTCCGCCCACTTCCTGCAACGTTGCCAAAGGCGGAGGCGGAGGTGGGCGGAGATAGGCGGCGGCGGGCGACAGCAGACGGCAGCGCTCATGAATAGATTGCAAGAGGAAGAAGATGAACAGTATTTTTGCCCTAAATTGATATTATTTTTAAAAAATTAATCTATTTTTAAAATATTATTTTATTGATATTAGGGCTCAAAAATTATCTTATCTGCTATAATCCCTTTATTTTTTTTCCCAGGTCCACCAATAACAATCATAACAGTAACGACAGGGCATATAAAACGAAACGTTCAAACCTGCTTCGCTGTCTTTTTATTCGTCAGGCCGATGCGGCAAGTGTATGGTTAGGATAGAGTTTCCTTTTATTAGGGGGGTATTAATGCGCCCCAAACCCTCTACATAGTCAAACCACTTACGATTGTGGGGCAGCAAGGAATGGAATCGGATAAAGGATCCGAATTTCATTCGTGTATAACTTAAATTTGATTCGAATAATCGGATACTATTTGCTATGAGAGTTTGTTAAAACAGTGTGGTACTGCCATAAAGGTTTTTAAAACTAAATCGGATATTCAACCGGTTAGGGGTCCGGTTTTCAGGTTGAATGGTCCGATTATTTGAATCGAATGGATGGTCCATTTTGATAAAAAATAAAAATCAGCTAAACCGTCAAACGGTTCGAACAGTTTGACTACCCAGGTCAATAGTTTGTTAATTAAATCAATGATTTTTGGAAAAAATAATGATTCTGGGATAAAATAGAACCAATTACCTAATCGGTTCCCAGTTTTTCCGGTCCAATCCGATTTTAAAAATAATGAGTGCCATACTAAAACAATGAAATGGAAGTTCATGTCGTTTGATTTGATAACGCACAAGAGGAAATGCATTAGCATTTTAGAGTGAGCTACATTGGGTTCCTGATACTGAATTTATCATTAAATTTGAACCACAACAAAATCTGGTGTTATCTAATGCTTTAGTCCTTTAGAATCCACCACACTTTAGAACGCTTAGGCTATGTTTGGTTCTGTGGACTTTTACTGAAAAAACATCATCACATCAGCATCACATAAGCGTTGTGTTTTTTGTGCACGAAACCACTGATTGGTTTCAACATTTATCAAATAAATATTAAAAAATATAAATGCTTGATTTTTATGTGAATGGCATTTGGAGAAACATCAAATCCTTGTTTCCTCCAACACCCCAACATTTATTGAAATGAAATGCTTATGTGGCATATTTTATGGAGTGTTAATCTGAGGTGGAAAGTAAGTAATATTTAAAGTTATGCTCAGCCAAACAACAAAAGAAATACGTTTAAAGTAAAAATTTTCAAATAAACGTTTAAAGCAATAAACACCCCAAGATAAACACCCACAGAACCAAACACGTACTTATAAAAACAATAACTAAAAATATTTTAATAAAAACATATGTATTCCAAATCATCAAACATAACTATTCCATATTTTCTCTTCAAATCATCAAACAATCAATCCACGATATTCAATTTTAAATGGTTTTTGACACCAATGTGTTTCACATGGTGGGGGCAGGATTAGATCCCATGTTCCTGAAAGAAGCCAGTCACCCTACCAAACCAAGCCACTATCAATTGGTTCACCTTTGATTTTTGATTCAACAAATATCAATTTTCAAAAATTCCCCTCTTCACAATGGATCCCAAAACTATTCATTGAAGCAGCTTTTTTTGAGGGGAGAATGACTGCTCAGAATTTTTTAGCCCCACTGTACAGGAGGATGAATCTTGACTGTGAATTGATGTCAAATTCACAGGCGGATGTGGTTTATGAGGGGCTACTAGTAGACTATGGGGGATTGTCATTCAGAATTCTGCATTGGGTTGCAGTGTACTTAACCCTTTTTTTCTTTGATAAAAACAGCCTGTCAAATGTTTAAAGAGGGTTTTCGTTTTTTTTCTTTTGATCTAACAAGCCGGAAAAGGGACCACTCATGAAAATACATTGATGCCACATACCCACCCAGATGCGTAAYGAATGCAAGTGTGGTGGGTTGGGCCGGGTTTAAGCTCAATCCAGGCCAAACGCTAGGAATTGGGCCCAAGGCCCAAACCCGGGGTCAAGTCTCATCTGTTTCATCCAGGCTTAGTGTGTATGTGTGTGTGTGTGTATATATATATATATATAATTAGGCTGGATTCAAGCTACCTAAGAGCTAGGTCCAGGCCCAACCTGAGGACTAAAAATCCAAACCCAATCTGTAAAAAATTGCGGACTGAATTGGTCCAAACTTCGATTAGGCCCACCCAAGTTGTAACCTGCAAGGATTGTGCCAAGAAAGAAGGTTACATGATCTCATCATCCCTGCTTCCATCTCACAGAATTTTTCATTTGCCCGCTCCCCCAATAATCTCTGTCCAACATAGATGGAACAAAAGTTAAGTTTTCAGCATTGGAGTTATCTTTGATAGGGTTTCTCAAGTGCAGGAAAAATGTTAGTGCAACCGGAGGGTACAGTGAAGTTTGAATTATTCAATATGAGCATGGTAACTAAAGGAAATGTAACAATAAAGTTATGGTTAAGCAAACCATCACTGAGTGGCATACCGTTGCTGGCATTAAGAAATAAGATTGGCAAGCCAGAAGAGCTCCCCAAACAGGGTTTGACAGATACAATGGAGCTCAAATCTGTAATGGACAGAGAAGCAATGTTTTAGAAATCAACCCAAATTAAAACTGCTTTGGTCACCAGTTTTTGGGTCAGTGGTTCGATCCTCCTGTCTGGATGGCTTGTTTCAATTTGAAAATAAATAATAATTAAAACAAAAAAAAACAATTAGAAGCTGTTGTTTGGGTCAACAGTTCGACTGCCTGAATCAGTGGATCATTGACCAATTTAACGGTTTTTGGTAAAAGAGCAGTTCAGGGGTGAAATGAAACCAGTTGCCTGAACCATGATTTTCAAAACCGGACTAGACCATATGGTCAGACCAGAAAACTGGGAACCGATCAGGCATTTTATCTGACCCATCTTTTTAGCTAAAAACCATTGATTTGGTCAGTAAACCAGTGACCCAGATGGTTGAACCATTCAAACCATCCAACAGTTTTTAGATGTTTTTTGATTTTTTTTATTTCATTTGTAAGAACGAGCTGTCCATTCAGTTCAAACGGTTGGACTGTTTGACCCAAGAACCGGACCCTGAACGGTTGGTTGTGCGGTTCGGTTTTAAAAACCTTGACCTGAACTATTTTTGTGCCAAATGATCTGACTATCTGGGTCAATCATACGACATGCACCGATACATTTAAATATTTTGAACTTTGCCTCCAAAGCATATTGGGATGCGCATCTTGAAATCGTCTTTGCAACAAGGGAAAATCCATGCTGTCATAATGGAGAAGCTGACAATATTATTTGTTAATCCGGGGTTGAGAAGATGACAACATTATTGAGGTGGTTTTGGGCATTTCTTTCGGTCTGCAAGAAGCTCAAAAGACAAAAAAATGGCTTTTCCCCGTTTGTTATCAGTATCACAGAGACCAAAAAACCCAATGATGAGCGTGCAAAAAGACTGAAAATGCCAAAAAATCAGGAAGATCCAAATGAAACTTTTGATATTTTCTGCATTGAAAATAGCCTTCCCAGCTGTTTTAAACAGCCCGGTAGACCGCAACGCGAAGCAAAGTCTCGGTCTTTAAAAACAAGACCCCAAAAGTTGAGTGAGTCTTCTCTCTCGTCTACAAATGGGCAAGAAAACAAGAATCAGAAACTTGCATAAATGACTGGAAAATGTGGAAGACAATTTAATAATAATCATCATACGAGGAAAAGGAAAAGAAAAAACAAAAATATAGGCCGCCCATGACAATTTACCTCTCCAACATCAGATACGTCCTCCCGGCACCATTACTCTCACAAATACATAGAATATACAATCCACACCATCCCACCCTCTACATCAATAATTAAGCCTTACCAGGTAAAGTGAACCACATGTGGAATCTCAGACCCCATGAAAGTCACTCCAGGACCTCAACTGAACAGGAGTAAGGCATCTCCTATCATGGTGAGCTCATCACTTTTCGCTTCTCCTTACCCTATTGATGCCATTATATATGTTAGGCGCTTGGTGATATCAACTTGGGTGCTCATCTTCATGGATTACTCAGCTTTTAATCTCAGAATCTCCTTGGCAGTTCTCCTCCGAAAATATGGCATGTGTTCCTGCAAAATAAAAGAGGTAGACATGGATTCAAGTTCACCCCATAGGTTTGTTAACTTTTCTTGAAGCAGAATATCCATGTTTTTCATTAAAATGTCTAACTTGGTATTGCCCCAAGGAACATAATTGAGAACATCCAAGGGGTGATATTTGGGGAGAAATAAATGAAAAGAGAGGCAAGGAATGTTAAGTGTGTTTCAGCAACCTTAGTTTCAGAACCAACTAGTAATCATCTAAGGATGTGGAAGTACTGTGAGATTAATTAGGCTTGGGCTGGTACACCCCTTTCCCCAAAAAATACATGTAGTACAATTTATTTGGTCACTATGTTCCTCTCCTTCCCCTTGGCACCTTTTATCAGTTGCACTTCCCTCTTAATCACAACCATCTGCTCTACCAATGTGCAATGACCCAAAGCAGAAATGATGTCAGCAGCGGACAGAGACAATGAAGATGAAAGCAACAGGCATTGTAGCGCTCTCGCTTAAATTTTCTCAGGTTTTATAGTTGCAAGATTGTGACCCAAGTCACAAATAATGGTCCTATTTAAGTTAATGGAACAAGCCCTACACAAACATTCTGCATCATATCCTGTCTCAGTTCCTGTTTCACCAGTCCTCCCAGACTCCTACAGCAACCATATCCAGAATGAATCATCTATCCATAAAAAATGAATATACCTTTTTCTCGGCATAACAGCTAATTTTTTTTTGCTTTCACTAGAAACATACGTTGCACTGTTTCCAGCATCAGTTTCTCAAATCAGCATTAATCTATTTGCTTCTATCTCATTCTCCTTCAGGCATCAGTTCAACTAACAATTTTTTCAAGAACATGTTTTCCTATCCAGCAGCAACTATTTCATATCAGTATGTCAGATTTAGATACTGTAGACTACAGCTTACTTTCAGAACCACTTAGGTTGATATTTTCAGAACCACTTACAGGTAGCATATACCTCTCTTTTCACCATATGTGAGATATCCATTAGGTTGATCTTTCAACAAATAAAATGGTCAAAAGAAGATAGTTTACAATTTAAACAGCCACTTAGGCTTCCATATTTAATATTCCTATGACATGAAACTCATTATCTATACACGCAATGGGTTATTCTCTATGTATCATTTGCTTGTTGGATATTGTACAGGGCAGTTGTTTCACAACCCACCCCTCCATCCATGTTAGAACTTATAAATTTGCACCATGTTGCTCTCAGCAATGGCACAAAGGGGTTGTGTCTTGGCTTTCAACTTGAAAAGCTTTAGTAACTACTTTTAGGATGTAAAACACTGACATGGAAAGCATTGTGCACCTGGCAAACTGAGAAGGTTTTGTAGACTACTCATGCCATCTCTTCATGTGGTAAGAAAGCTAGCATAACTTCAGCTTCCTCCAATCCTTTTTTTATCAATAACACAATTCATTAATTATCACAATAAATTACAGAGAGGAAGACAAACTTTCTTATCTTCCAGCTACATCAAGAGCCCCAAGAGAGGAAACAAGAGAGAAAGAGAGAACAGAAAAAGAAGAAAGCTAAATTACAACTTTGCCCAGAACATGACATCCCTATCCACCCCTTGTTTAGCTAGCCCATTAGCAAAAGAATTAGCTGATCTTTTTACCCAACTAATTTTAACTTCCATTTCTCAAACCAGCCATCTGAATTTTCTCTTCAAATTACTATAACTCCATAAACCGCTATCTTCTTTGTTCAGCCACCCAACCACCACCTCCGAGTCCCCTTCAATTATGAGTTTTCTGATTTTCATCTCCCTAGCTTTCTGAACACCTTCCAAAACTGTGTGGATCTCAGCTCTGAGAGAGTCACCCACTCCAATTGAGCCTAAAAACATGGCCAAAACAACCCCATTCTCATCCCTGAAGACACCCCCAATCCCTGATTGTCCGGAGTTCCCTTTGCTACTTCCATCAAAGTTTAGTTTCATGAAACCCACAGGTGGGGGAGTCCAAGACACACTCATCCCTGCTTTAATCTGGGTACAGCTAGCAATCTCACCCCACTTCCTCAGCAAGTCATCTATTGTATATTCTGTGAACAGCTCTAGGGACTTCATCCACTGAATAACCCTTATGTGGATCAGGGCCCTCAACTCTTCAGCACCTCTCTCTACATCAGAGAAGATTTTGGAATTTCTTTCTTCCCACAAAGATCAGCATACTGCTGCCCTCAGTCCTCTCCACATAGTCCTTCCCCTTTTCATATGCCACCTGAAAAAATGAGCAAAAAGGTCTTACAAATTTGATGGAAGAGTCCAAGTACTCCCAAAAAGAGATAAAGTTCACTCCCAAATAGACTTTGCAAATTGGCAARACACCAGAAGATGAAAACCAATCTCCCCATCAACTTTACAAAGAACACACCAATGAGGGGACAAACAAGTACTGGGTCTCTTATTTTGGAGTAGATCACCAGTGTTGAATCTTTCCAGAAAGGCTTCCCAACAAAAACTACCAACCTTAGGAGGAATTGATCTACACCAAACCTCATTAAYAGGGAAAGGGGGGTTACAGGATTGGAGGGCTGGCATAGAACTTTAAAGAAAGAGGCACAGGGGAAAAAAACAGTAGGGGTGGGGGTCCAGGTTCTAGAGTCATCCTTAGTAGGGTCCAAGAAAACATTATCAAGAAGAAAGAGGAGACTCGAAATACTGTCCAGGTYGGAGTCTCTCACAACCCTTCTAAGACCCAAATTCCAATCAAACCCAGAAATGGAAGAGGAAGGGGTCAAGAAGGAGGAAACTGGCTCATTTTTAAAATCAGAAAGTGCATATGAGGAAGGAAACTAGTCCTTAAGAGGTGCATTCCCCACCCAAGTTTGTTCCCAGAATTTTATGGAGTTACTTGAGTTCAAATAATACCTGATACGAGGGGAGAAAACTTGTAATAAGTCATGAATGGCTTTCCAAGGCAAGGCGCTTGTGGTCCTAGCCAGAATTCCAGCATCCCATCCGTTTAACTCCAGCCCATGAATGCTTACCACTATTTTGGCCCATAATTTATCCTTCTCTAGTGGGAATCTCCACAACCATTTCCCCAAGAGTGCCAAATTCCTTTCTCTAATGTTCCCAAGCCCTAAACCACCATTGTTTTTACTCCTGGTCACCACCTTCCAGCTTACCCTATGGTCCCTCTTCTCCTCTCCCGATTTCCCAAAGGAAGTCTCTCATCATCTTTTCCAGCCTGTTAGCAACCTTTACTGGGATTTTGAACACTGAAAGGAAATAAATGGGTAAATTTGCTAGAGTTGCCTTAATCAGTGCTATCCTACCTCCAAGAGAAAGATAGTTCTTTTTCCAAGATGCAAGTCTCTTCTCAAACCTTTCCACCACCGGATTCCAGAAACTCTCCCTCTTTGGGTTGTCACCCAATGGCAATCCCAAGTAGTTCAACAGTCATCCTGTGACCTCACACCCTAGCACTTCTACACTCTCCCTAGTTTCTTCCTCCTCCAAATTCACAACCACTACACAACTTCTCAAAGTTCACCTTCAAATTTGACATTCGTTCAAAAAGTAGTACCACCAGTTTCAAGTTCCTAACATACCCCAAGTTTCCTCCTTCACAGAACAAAATTGTATCATCTGCAAACTATAGGTGGGTGAGGGGGGTTTCCTCCCTTCCAACTCTCCATCCTCTAATGAGACCCCTAGACATCCTTTTTGAAAATCTCAACACTCTCATGAGCAATTAGGATTTGGTCAATAATTTGTCTTCCACACACAAAAGGCTCCTTGATTTGGTGTAATGATATCTAGCAATRCTTCCCTCAATCTCAGAGATAACACCTTAGCCAGAATCTTATACAAACTATTTACCAAACTGATTGGCCTAAAGTCCTGGTGGGATGCATCTTTTTTTTTTGGAACCACAACTAAAAAGGTGGAATTCACACCTGAGTTAACCACTCCTTTCCTGTGAAATTCCTCAAACACCAACAGCAGATCATCTTTCAAAGTATCCCAACAATCTTGATAAAAAGCCATTGTAAACCCACCTGGACCTAGAGCTTTTGTTTTATCCATAAAAAAAACAGCCTCCTTAATTTCTTCCAACTCAAACCTTCTTTCCAATCTTCTCCWATTATCAACCCCCACATATGGCCAGTCTAAACCTTCCACCCACACCCCCTACTCACAGGCCTCCTTAAGATAGATTTAAAATGCCCTACAAAGGCCCCTGCAATCTCATCTTGGTGTGTAAATTCAACTCCATCCACCTCCAGTTTGAAAATAAAATTCCTCCTCCTTCCATTAGCTAGAGAATGAAAGAACCCGGTATTCCTATCCCCCTCTTGCAGCCATTTACATCTAGATTTTTGCCCCCAACTTATTTCCTCCTAAGGTAGGCAGTCCTCTAACTGTCTTCTCAGACTTTTCTATGCACCTTGGCTGCCTCTCCAAACTCTCCCCTCTCTTCCTCACATCTAAGCTCTCAATTTGGTCCATCAAAGTTCTCTTTCTTTCCTCAATCCTTCCAAACTCCAATTGATTCCATTCCTTGATCTTTGTTTTCAAAAATTGTAATTTTTTATGGAATCTCATCCCCTCCCATTCCACCATTGGGTTGCATTCACTCCACCACTCCCTTACTCTTTTAGTAAACCCCGGATGTAGTAACCACATATTTTCAAACCTAAAAGGGGAAGGTCCTCCACTCCTCTACTCCTTACATATCACAATAGGCCAATGGTCAAAGGTCAATCTAGGAAGAACCCTAGAGTCTAAATTCCCCCAATGTTCTTCCCAATCCAAAGAGAACAGAAACCTATCCAGCTTGGATCAGATGGGGCTTTCTTGAAGATTTGACCAGGTGAATGTCTTATGGGCTAAGGGAATCTCTTTAAGTTCAAAGGCATCCACAAACCAGTTAAACTTCCTCATACTAGTTGTCACTCTTTTATTGATATTATTGGTTTCCTCCTTGAATCTTATCACATTAAAGTCCCCACCCACACACCAAGGACCATCTCATAGCCCTCTAATATCATCCAGCTCCTCCCATAATTCTTTTCTCTCTCTCTATAGTCATTTGGTCCATAAACATTTGTGAGCACCCACACAAATCCATCCTCTTGCTGCTTGAACTTCAGTGAGACTGAGTATTTTCCGATTAGTTCCTCCAATCCTTCAACTGCGTCCCCTCTTCCACATTGTCACTATCCTCCCTAAAGCACCCCAAGAGGGAGCAGCCACCCAACTAATTGCTCTAGCTTTCCAAACACTTCTTGCCCATCTATTATTATTAAACTCCGTTCTCTTGGATTCCTGCATTAAAACAATGTCTGGGTCATACCTCTTTATTACATCTTTGATCGTAGCTCTTTTCATCGCACTTCCTATGCCCCTCACATTCCAACTAAGTATATTCGTATTCACTCCTTCCTTAGCTCCCTACTTCAACTCACCACTACTCCCCCCTTTTCCTTCTATCTCCTTTTACCCCGAAGCTCTTATCTCCTTTATTTTGAATTCCCCACAAAGTCTGCTATCATGTCTTCTCTGTTAGATCCCTCCACCACTATCCTCTCTCTATATATTCCTCTCCATTTCTCCCCTCCTCTCCTTCTCCCCTCTCAACTGATCCCTCCCCTGTTCTCTCATCTAAATCCTTCCTCCTCATCATGTTCTGTTCAACTTCACTGAAGATTTTTTCAATAATTTCCCATACTTTCACATTCCTATATCTTCCTTCCACCATTTCCTCACAATCCATCAATCCCTTCTCCATAACTTTATAAGACCCACCATCTTGACTAGCTACACATACATGAGCTACTGGACTTGGAATGGGAGCAGAATCTGGCACATAGGACACAGAAGCAACATTAGTAGCACAAAAAGAATTTACATGATTACCTGGGTTTGATTGGCATGTTGGAAAAGTACACAGGACATTATTCCCAGCCTTCCTTCCTTGTTCAGAGGATTGGTCAATAATTGTCTCCCTGGGCTGGTTGAAAAGCATTTTTGTCCTTTGGACAACATGGCAAACTCTCCTCTCTACCCTTGGTTCACCCTTATTAGTATATTCCTGCTCTGCCTCAGGTTCTCCCGGTTATCCCCTTCTTTTGCGCCCTGTACAATCTGAAATCTTGGGAATGGGTTATTCCGGCTACTCTCTTTATCCCCATTTGCTTCACAAGACCCAAACTTGCTTCCATCATCTACCAAACCTTCCTGGCCATCTGGACTATACATTTGTTTCTCCTCTAAGTCCCCCTGAAAAAGATTTGCACAATTCAGCATACCCATCTCACCCACATCACAGCCGCCACCATCGTTCACACTTCCGATGCTTGTACCTTCGTCCGAACTCTCACCCAAATCTTTGTCGTTTACGCTACAGCGCACCCAGCCTTCGTCCACCTCCTCCCTCTCTTCATTTCTTTCTCTTGCATACCTTGGATTCGATTTCTCTGAGAAACATTGCACTGAGGTATGATTATGCAGATTTCCGTAAGGCATCCATTGCAGACCACCCTGTTTGCCTTCTCTCCGCCACTGCAACTTCTCATCAGCAAAACTCACGAATGAAGATGATAGACCGAATTTTTTATCTACCATCGCTGCCTTTCCCAAACCCTTGCCCCGACCCACGTGTCACTTAAAATGCCTCTCGGTTTAATGGTCAACCCGCCCATCATTTTAAGCGGCTCGAACCATGCATTTCGCCTATTCTGTCCTTTAAGCTTCTTTGCCACGTCAGCAGAGGAAAAGTGGCGCGCCCTGACATTGATTAATTCAAATGAATTCGAATTTATTTCCTTTACAGGCATGTGAGTCGTTTGGAATACCCCAGACGACTGATTAAATGCCTTATTAGTTCCTCCCTACATTTCCTTTTCGCACCCCACTATCTTTCCTCCATGTGTCCACCACCCTGCCAACTCAGCTTCGTCTTCAACCTTGGGAGACCTTCCCCACCAGAACTGCTCAACTTCTGATGCCACCCACACCTTATACCACACACCATCTGAACAAATTTCAAAGAGCCTGGGCAATTTCTCATGTTTGATTCCGGCGACCTTAATCTCCACGGCACCCAAATGACTTTTGTCAGTCTGCAACAGCACCCCTCCGAAGCTCTGAACAATATGTTCAAGAACAGAGTCTCGCCAGAGGTTGAAAGGAAGACCAATAAACTTCAGCCTGGTGCATCCATCTTGAACTGCAACTTCATTACAGCTTGGGCTCCAGTTCTGGACCTGTATAATGCCTCCATCCACAACCACTGCTTTGAAGCTTAACTCCTGGTCGCCTACATCAAGAACGGCCTTAGTTTCTGTAAACGGGAAAATCATTGCTTCATTACCAATGCCTATCTCCCCTGCAACTGCATTCAGTACTTCCTTCCAATCTCTAACTCCCTTATCAGCCACTAATACCATTCTTTTTTTCCATTCATCCGTCCCTGCTCCTACCCATATTCTCTGGTAATTAGACGAACATGCAACCACCACGCCCAGAGGCCCAAAGCCTTGCATTCTTACACTCCCTGTAGTCTCCACCATATCTCCCTCCTCCTGAGTCTTCCTTCCTTGATCCTTGGGTTTCAGACCAGATGCCTTCACTTCCTCTGACTTCTTTCTAGCCGAGGCAACAAGGAAGGACTGCAACTCCCCCACAAAAGCCAACCACCCACTGCCTTTTCCCTTCTATCACACAAACCATTTGTTTTCCATTTCTTCCAAAAAAAACTCAGTCACTGTTATAAACCAACCTTTGTTGTTCCTTCTCAATTCAATTGCAAAGGTCTTGCCAGGAACTGACAAGGAGTTTGTCCAACCATCCTCTTTGCATGAATTAACAGCACCATCAACAAAACCTTTCACCCATACTATGGCCTCCTTCGTTAACAAAATTGTCGCCCTGTTACTCTCTCTGACCTTCAAGACACCATTTCCTTCTTCAAACTTAAAGCTCTTCACTTCAATTGTACCTCAGGCCGCCATCTTCCAACTACTGTCATGTTCTTCTCCAATTGATACCTCAGCTTCCTCCAATCCTCCTTATACAATCCATCCCACGGCCTATGGAAACAATAACAGGGCCAATTTGGAATGCCCTTGGCCATAGGGAAACCCAGGAGAGGCCAAGGGTTTACTCCCCCAATACACATCAATGGCATTATCCTACAATCTTTTATCATCAAGTGGCATAATCGTACATTAATTGGAACTTTTTTCAAGTGGCTTTCATTCAAGGGAGTAGCTCCAGCCAGTAGCAGTTAACTGCTACCRTGAAATTAGCTCATCCCAGACAAGGAAACACAATTTCCATTTTCGAGTCATCAACTATGCAGTCATGCATGAAGTTCCTGTAATGTGGATCTCTTCCCCAAATGACTAATCTAGGAAACCTGTACTTTATATACGTGATGGAAACACAATAAGCCATGCAAATAGCCATGCATTAAAAGAAATTTACCTGCTTGAAATATAGCCCTATACCTCTGCTGTAGAAATCAGCATATTTGATCATGAACATACCACAGTCCCACCTGTCACGGAGCAGAAAAGTCTTTCACTTACACCCTGATGAACAGATGCAAATCCACAACAGAAAGCAATATCAAGAAAGAAAATCCACAGCATTTTATCTTTTTTTTTTTTTTGAAAAAGACTAGGCATTGTATTGTACCAAGTATAACTACAAACAACCAAGTACAAAGAGATTCTGTACATCAAGCCCATTAAGTACAGCAAAACAATTCTATAGACATTTGCTAACAAAAAGCCAGTCCCTGATTAAGACAAAAAAGAGATAGATTATATCCTTAGTTGACTTCAATCATTTCTTCCAAACCATGTTGCCCAGATAATAGCTACAGCAAACATGGCCCTTACTGCCTTGCCCACTTCGTTCATACCCTTCACGTGCCATCCCCCTCATCAAATCAATAACAGGAAAAGGGTGGTATCCTTTCCACTGTATAGCCTTCATAAAATGAGACCAAACCCTGGTAGTGTATTCACATTGAATGAACAAATGATTGCTTGACTCTTGCTCCACTTCACAGAGAAGACATAAAGAACTATCCACTGTTATGCCCCTTCTCAAATCCACAGCCATTCGAGTCTTGGTCCTTTTTTTTGGTTAGTTGAGTCGTAAATAATTGTTTAACAAAACCAAGATTGGTTATTGATTCAACCATTAATACATGGGTAAAAAGTATCTTATAGGGATAATTGTATTGGTTCAACCACCAATAGGTAGGCAAAGAGTCTATTATTATTAAGCTAAATCAAACCAAGAGGACACCAAGCTGTATGTGTAAGCAGCATTATGTATGGTCAATACAAATTGGCCATAGGCACAAAATGTGATCAACCAAAAATGCTTTCCAAGAATGTAAAACATGCAAGCCTTGAGAATGGATCACTTGCTTCAACGGAAATATGAAATAAAATAGAAGGGAAGATTCTTAAAAGATACTGCTTCAGAAAAACAAAAACAGAAGTGTGTTATATGGAGTATTACAAGGTGTCCAGATAGCAAAAGAGATGAATGTTGAAAACTTGGTGATAGAAAGGGACTCTAAGGTGGTGGTGGGCTGGATAAAGAATCCGGATTCAGTAATATGGTATTATAGAGATGAAATGAAGAAGTTCAAATGGCTAACACAACATATGAATCTGATTATACAATGGGTGGGATGGGAAGCTAATTGTTTGGCTGATTCTTTAGCCAAGCAAGGGGTAATGAGGGATCAGTTGTTTTGGGCACAGTTATAAATCTCTTGCTGCTTTTTCTTCAAGTGTGAGGCTGCACCTCGCGCCTCTCCTTGGGATGCTTGTAACTGTTATTTATTTTTTATATCAATAAAATTTCAACTTTATTCATCAAAAAAAAACAAAAACAGAAGTGTTATCAAGTAGCTGAGTCAAATTAAATAGAACTAGAAAAGCAAGCTATGAAATAAACAATTTCTTCTAGTCCAAATTTCTTTTGAAATAAACCGTAACTTCAGACAAGGATAAATATGAAAAAGAAAAGATACAGAAGAAGCCAATGGTTGCTTTCTTTGTCCTGGTAATAAAATGGTCATTACCCAATACTGACCTAGGACTTTGGAAGGGTGGACTGGAGACAGATCTAACCTTTTTTTTTCTTTTGGTGCACAAAGCGAACTCTCTCAGACTCAAACTTGTGTTCTGCACTTGTTAGCCCAAGATTTTACCATTGCACCAAGCAATGGCCCCTTGTGGTAATGTCTTTTTTTTCTGATCATTAAGAAAGAAGGTTTTAATAATATCAATTTCAAGTATTACAAAAGGTGGAATTTCCACCTTAGAGACACTCTGTATAATTTATAATTTTGCTCAGAACATTTGGTGCCTCGTTGTCCCTTGTTTGGCTAATACATCTGCCATCCCATTTGCTGATCTTCTCACCCATTTAAAGACAACATTCAGCTCCCGTGATATACTTTCTATTTCCCAGAAAGTATGTCTATAGACCCATGGGACTTGGGAGCTACCTCTTGTCCATGAAATGACCACCTGTGAGTCTCCTTCCACCTCCATGTTGTGGAAACCAAATTGCTTACAAAATTTTAGCCCATGGAGTAAACGCACATCCCTGCTTTCAATGCATTACCATCTATTAGTGGCCCTGAATATATTGCTAAGATCTTTCCTTTCGAGTCCCGGAAAACCCTCCCAACCCCACAACAACCCTGAAAACCCCTTGTGGTAGCGTCTTCATAATTTCTTTTTTTGAGAAAATTTAACCAGAAACATCTTCATAATTTCTATCCAAGAAATCAAGTTTGGAGGTTTCATATATTTGCTAACGTATTCATAAAAAACTTTACCATACTCTATTTTATTTTGCACAAAATAGTAAGACAGCAACCATGTTTTCTAAGATTGTTCTGCACATTATTTTTTTTATAAATAACATTTTTTATTTAAAAAGTTAAAAATAGGATTTTTTTAAGGAGGGCCAACTGGCTAAGCTGGTGCTTAGGAGGGAGTATAGAGGACCACAAACAAGATCACAGAGCAATTCGGAATATACTGTTCACTCCTTGGAACTTTAATCAATTCTGTCTTGGAATCCATTTCCCATTTCCCACTCCTCACTTTTCATTTCATTTCAAAATTCAAAACTTGAATTATTCAGACGGAAGCCCAGAGGGGGGAGAGAGAGATGAGAGAGACTCATCACTTTTTACTGTATAGCCAATGAGAAAACTAAAAACCCTACAGTTATATTATCTGAGATTTCTTTGTGTATATTGCTTTCTTTTGAATTCTTTTGTTATCTAAAGTTACCAAATATCATGGCTTATCATATATGGTTTTCTTTATTCTTTTTCTAAGATCAAATAGAAAAAATGTAAAGAGTGAAACTTCAGCATTAATTTTCCCAATCTTTTTTATAGTAAAGAAAAAAGAGAATTCATTAAAAAGAAAAGCAGAAAGGTGCAACCTAAGGTGATAAGGCATCATAAACCAACCGTCCCAGTCCAAATACAGACCTCTCGAAAATTTTCCAATCCCCCCCCCCAAAGAAAAAGCTTTCTTTCTCTGAAGCGTATGCTTTTGATTTTTTTTATTCTATCACCTTGATACTGTTCACAACTTTATTACAAATATTTCTGTTGTTTTATAACCTATCACTAATAAAATTATAAAAAATGCTCCCATTTGGATTCCATTTACTTCATTTCACATTGACAAAGTTTGGGAATAGCATACATACCCATTCTCCTGTTCAGGAAGGTCATCAACATATTCATACTTCCAAGAACTCACATCTATTTCTTTCCCACTTTTATCCTTCACTTCATCCACAAAGTACCTAGCCTGAAACATWACATACAACAATAGAGAAAAGCATATTTCTTCAGCCTTGCAAGTTCATAATGCCTTACAAATTCTAATTCGGACAAAAACAAAATAAACAATAATTTCGCTAATATAGTATCCACTTCCCGATCCTTGGATATATGGACATGGGAGAAACCATACTTTTGGCTGGGGAGACAGAGCTGGCTAAACAAGGGGGTAAATAGAAGCAATTTGTACTGGGGAATTATTTCCCACAGGGGTTGAATGTAAAACAAGTTATGACGAAATCAGGGATTAGATAGATGGGGCTAGCCTAGCACCCAAATTATTTGTTATACATTCTTTTTCATAAATCAATAAATTACACATTCTTTTTCATAAATCAATGAAGTTTTCAAGTTAACAATAAAAAAAGCTATATATAATATCCAATCCCTTTCTATGGTTTTGGCATTTTTCTACTACAGGGTATATTTTGGTAATTTTACCATATATGCACACTCTAGCCTGGTGACTTTCTTAGTTGAGTCATTACTATGTTTTAACATTTCATTTGACATGGTTGGTTGCATTAGGAGTTAGAGATGTATTTTTTTATTGATAAAATTTATATTGTATTAAATTAAATTGAAATAAGTGAAAAAAACATTACAAGTTTAATTTAATGACCATAATATCAGCCCAACCACCGACACTATGTTACAAAGATGCCCAAAACAATTACTGCCTATCTACCCCTTGTTTAGCAAGGGAGTCAGCTAGCCCACTTGTGCTTCTTCTAACCCACTTAAATTCAGCATTCAGCTCTCCTGCAGCCCTTTCTATTTCCTTGAAAGCATTCTTGAGAGTCCATGGAATATGTGTTATTTCTTGCCCAAGAGATGATAACTTTGAAATCCCCTTCGACCTCAACTTGTCTCAGGCCCAAATGCTTAGCTATCCTACGACCTTGTAGTAAAACCAATAATTCAGCTTTAATGGAGTTAGCCACACCAATTGGCCCAGAGTAAAAGGCTAGCAATCTGTCCTCCAAAATTCTAATTGCCCCACCAATACCTGCCATACCAGGATTGCCCAACAAGCTTCCATCAAAATTCAACTTAACTTTACTACCTTGTGGGGATTTCCAATCCATTATTATGCTGTCTTTGATTCTAGAGGGTTGTGCTATCTCCTTCCAAGCTCTTAGAATATCAGTCACTGTGAAATTCTGAAAGCACTCCGTGTTTTTAATCCAGAATGCAACCTTCACTTTTATTGTCTCAATAATCTACTCTACAGATCTATTTTTGCCATTGAAAATTCTGTTGTTCCTTTCCTCCCAGACCACCCACACAGTTGCAGCCTTAGTAACTCTCCACATCAGTCTTCCTCTTTTCTTTGATTGCCTTGGGAAGTTGGGCCTGAAAATTTCCGCCACCTCCTTGGGAGGGATCCACCTGCAGCCGAAAAGATCACAGAAAAACACCCAGATAGAAGAGATAAAGGGACAAGAGTTAGAGATGTTTCTTTGGTAGAAAGGAACCCAATGGCAGTACTGCTTTTTACTTACTCCTGGTGAAAGGTGGTCGTCATTGATTTTATTGATATCAAAAGAAAAAGCTAC